AAGAGAGAGACGAGCGGGAAAGAGGGGAGGGGGGGGGGGGGCGAGACGGCCGAAGTGGTTAGAGCGCGAAATTGCCGATCAGACGGTCCGAGGTTCGAACCTGCCCTCTGCTTCTCGACTCCCCCTGTTTAGGCTTGGGCAACCTGGCAGTATCCCAGCTCTCGTGCAACCTTTGGGTGGCATGGCAGTTAGGCACCGGGTGTTACAGCTGAACGATTTTTTCGAATGTCTCTATCTAGGTTACTGACAGAGGGTCCGATTAACATAAACACCACCATAAACTTCAGCAATGCATTTCATCGTTTCATGAGAGTTGGTGTACCTGGCCATCATGGACATCCATTACAGAGACTATGGTAATCGTGTATAGACCTACTGAGCCATAGCGTAACGAAATATACGGAAGTTTGAAAATGCATGCAGAAAGTTGCATGAGCACCCATGACTAGTCACTCCGTGCACTTGTATGTTTGTTCGGAAGTTTGGAGGTGTCTCCTCGTGTCAACGGTTATTTTTTCGTCCCTTACGTCCACACCATAGTTTCCAGTCTAGTAGATAAGAAGAAAACTAGCGAAAAATTGGATTGGTGTTCTCAAAAGTCTCTCACTGTTCACAAGCATTTTCCAGAAGTCTTTGTTAGTTTATAACTTGAAGCGATTGAGAAGATGTATTTCATGTCATCCAACAAGAGATTGGGTAGTACCCTTAAGTTGTCTTGACAACACCTCCCAATGTGTGATACCCCACCGTCAATGAGGAAACCGGATCCAGCCGGTTACATGGTACAAATTGCAATGAATAAATTAGGCCTGCGTACCACGGTTCAAGTGAAGATCGTTGTGCTATTAAGAAAGTGGCCAAGTCGAAGAACCTAGTCAAGTCAACACTGTGTCAGCTCTCACCACTATACCACAAGTACTTGGTCTTAATACTGCTGCTGATGGGGACTTTCGCTCATATTTTCAGGCCGGCAGTGATGCCGGGATGGTGAAGGCACGTGTACAGGGCAAAACGGTTAAGTAGTGCTGAATTTTCTCACTCGCTTTCGCTTAAGATTCCATAATCCTCCTAAGATAAATCTAAGATTCATTGGATCCTGGTCCAAAATTGCTGCTGTTTAATACTGCGGAACAAGTCAGTCTACCAGCCAGTATACAAACCTAGTCGTTTTTCAACATCATTATCAGTTAAATTCTTGCGCGTGTTGTCATCCAATTTAAAAGAAACCTAACCGTATGGATAATAGTCTGTTTTGTACGTTCTTGAACCTACAAACTGCATCGGAGGGAAGGCGACAATTTACACGCTACATATATTCTGTAATTTTGATACTAGTTGCAGTAAAACAAAAGCCCATTCAACCTAGATTTGTTTTGTTCATAAGCTCATCAGTGCTCGGAATTTCGTTCGCCACATTTCATGATCACACTACTCACAGAGACCACCAAGCGCACGGGAGATGAAGTACCAAACTAAATAAGCCCATGAAACTGCAATCGAGCTGTCTTCTAGTCGTCCATTCGCTCCAAGGATATTAGGTGCTATCTAAAACCAAATTTAAGGATTAAAATACCTTATTTTGTCTGGATTTTGAGAGTCACGTGACTTTAGGAAATATTTGTTGCAACACAGTTTGTCCAAGCTGCAATGCATCGCTCGAAAATATCTACAATAAGGCTGGATTTGGTGAATAATTTCTATGTTGTCGACAAGCAAAGGATGTGATTGCTCAGACTGAGAGTGGTGCAGCGATTTGAATCATAATGTCAATGAAAGCGCGAAGTGAAAAATCAAGTTAAAAGTTGGTCTGAATACTTGACTGTATGCCCTCCAGTACATAGAGCTTGCAACAGCTCAGTGGGTAAGGTCTGCCGTTCGAACCCTGCATCTCGACTGTTCCTATCCGCTCTTGGGCAAATTAGAAGTATCTCAGCCTTCATGGTTCTTTCGGGTAACATAGCAGCTAGCCAACGAAAAGATTTTACAGCTGAAGGATTTATTAGTCCGGGTTGTTGAAAAGTGTCAACAAAGGATTTAAAAAACCATACCGTTGATGAACCGGGACGAAACCGCGGAGACTAATCCACGAAAAAAGAAACGAGGCATTCAGAAAAGTGCGAAAAGAAAAGTTTCGTCACCACTACCTCACTTTAGTAGTGCAGATAAGAAAGCAAAATAAGAAAAAAAGGATCTCACCGAAAAAAACGACCGACTGTTAGCTAATACGGCCACACATAAGTCAACCAGTCGGAAAACACCACAAAGTTACTCAACGACAGCAATACGGCCTTCAGAAAACTATAACTACCAGGCGAAATTATCGGCCAAAAACGACTGTCAGCAACTCCAGTACTAAGCAATTCTATGGGTAACCGAAATTAGACGAGGACGTAAAGCCACCCCGCTTCACCGTTTTACTACATGGAACCCTAAAGAACGGTTTGATGAAAGACCGCTGGGTAGAGTTTGGTTATCCTATTTCTGGATAGAGAATAGTATCTCTTCACGGCAGTACCACAAGAAACTATGGGATGAACAAATTATGTTGGCGCTCGTTATTTCACTTAATTGTAAGTTTGCCAACGAGTCAATCCTAGAACGTTTCTGCGTGAAACCTAACGCACTGAGGACTGCGGAACTGGAAAGCGCACATAAACTGCTAGATCGCTACGTAACGGCTCTCTTGTCGATATGCTAAGAAACGAAAAAATCCCCGAGCCTATCGTCAATATTGCGTTTGTAGCTGGATTCGTAGTGCAAAATTCAGAGATTACTATGATCGCCGGTTTGTTCATTGAGATAATGACATTCTCCTCAGAAAGATCAGAATTTTTCAATGAGAAATTCTGGGCTTCGAATTTGCTACTTGGACGACGTTTACCTTATTTTCGGAAAAACAATTCCATATGACCTGTGCACAATAACGCGTTCGGCACAACTTCCTCATCTTCAATGAGATGATAGGGTGATTGTGTTTAAAGTCAACACGCTGATAAGCCACTAAACTATTACGCACCGCTGCCAAAGTATGCACTGATAGCATCAGTTGGAAGGGTGGCAAACGGTTGCAAGAAACTCCTGTAGTTTATCCTACCAATCAGTATTCTGCTTATAAAACTAGTCTTCTAGCTCTGTGATGGAAACCGTTTTGCTCTTAAGGTCAGTACAGCTAACTTTCCTCGGTGTGAGAAACTTAGTAATGTTGAAGTGTAATGTTATCACTTTAGGTTTAATTCATCCGGCCTGTGATTAGCATAAACAAAACGAAGCGAAAATCAGTTCTCTGCGTTTGTCAACTTTAGACTATCCGAAGTGTTTCTAATCAAGAATTCATTCTGTAAGTGAATTAATCTATCCCAGAAAGCAATCGCACTCTACAGATGGTTCATTCTTTTTGGTAACTGTCAGCAGCGACCACCTCACGAATCTCCAGGATGACGGTCTGTCATGTTGTAGAGAACGTTGATAATCATTTTGGTTTTTTTATTAGTTTTAGCACTGACATAAGTTCCCATTGCTTAAATAAGAACCTTTCTCTGTTCAAACCACATGCTTCCAATCACTGCTTTCATAAAAGGCTCAGTGAACGACAATGCCCGGAGATCCCGTAGGTGCATTGCAGTGCATGAAGCACATCGGGCTCCGGAATGCTCATAGTGCCTTTGCAATGCCTTCAGGATTGCTTCATTGAGGAAAATAGCAAAAACATCAGACATGTAGCAAGCTGTATACTTACACCTCCAGCAAGTAGAGTTTACCACACAGTCATTCTGATTGTGGTCATTTTTGTGCTAAAAGTATTTGATGCGTCCACCGCTAGGCTGATCTAAACGGAATTTGTGTCCCATTCCGTTGTGAAAGGAACTTGTTAACACTGAATACTAATTTACAGATGATTGCGTGTAGCCGAAATTCGAATACAGTCAAATTGATTCCGTTATAAGAAAATGGATGATTTCTGATTACCCACAGTGTTCCTGCCTTGAAGAGTCTCCCAGTGGCGAAAATGCACAAACTGGCCGATGTCCTTGAAACGGTAAGCCTATTGGAGAATCTCATTTTATTTGAAAGTTAAGGTTTTTTTAAGTCAGCGTATGTTATCATAGGGTATCACGATTTTCGCTTCTGAATCTCCCTGTGGGCTTTTTATTTGGTTTTCATTCTCTGTTAGTTGCGAAAATCTCTTTGGTTTTCTTATTTAGGACTTAATGATTCCCTCCGAAACTACCGAGACGTTATGTTTTAGGCCGTAAGTGGAAAATGTCGGCAACCCATATTTCCTCTCATTTTAAAAGTTAAGGTTTTTTTAAGTCAGCGTATGTTATCATAGGGTATCACGATTTTCGCTTCTGAATCTCCCTGTGGGCTTTTTATTTGGTTTTCATTCTCTGTTAGTTGCGAAAATCTCTTTGGTTTTCTTATTTAGGACTTAATGATTCCCTCCGAAACTACCGAGACGTTATGTTTTAGGCTGTAAGTGGGAAATGTCCGCAACCCATATTTCCTGGGGACAACTACCCCCGCCCCGATTCCTTATTCCGCTTTTCCCTTCGTTACCTAGCTACCAGCACCACGCTATGAAGTAAAGGTTGAAAGAATAACCACATTTTGCATACGACTTTTCAACTTCCTTTCGCAAGAGTTTTTGGAGGTTGCCGGACCTGCGTGAAAGAGGCCATCGGTAAGATTAAAAGCCGAAAGGCCAGATTTCGCGCGCCCATCGCCAGTAGTCAGTTACACAGTGCATATAAATGCATGAGAAACCGTTCCACAACTCGGAGTTGTTATGTCACCCATTAACCTCAGCATCCTTTCTTGCTCAGTCTATGAAATTTTGCAACCTTTGTGAATACTAGGTCACAGAATATGAAGCTAAGAATGTGGTCATCGATCAACAACTCAACTGGCTTGTTAGTTATGTGATGTGCTCACATCGTGCACACCAGTCTAATTCATCTACTCCTTCGGCTCTCTTAGTTCTTTTACAACTCTAGGCATCTGCCTTATTTTATGAATAAATTAGTTAATGGTGATGGATTATAGTTGGTGTGGTTGATGCAGATACTGACAATGTGTGCCGTCTGAATGATATGATCGATGTGATTTTGCCACCAGAGTGCTTCAGAAAATGCATTCCTGTTTTGTGCACGTTTACAAAAGCTCTGTTTGTCGGCTTAGGTTCTGTTCACGACAAAGCAGAGGTCACGACGAATCCGTTGGTATGCAAACGAAATTTCAGTGCAACAAGTCTATAACTCTGAATAATGTTATATCTATTCGTTCTTAGGTTTAGAGGGGAACATCTGATCACTCGGAACCTATTAAGACATGCAGACAAACTAAACAGGTTTCGAAAGCTTGCGAGCGACTCAAACGGATTTAGTGCTTAACTTTGTTATAAACCTGTAGATCACTTTCAACATGAAATGAGGTTCTCCGAAAGTACCGTCCATGTGGTTAGAAAACATCAAAACGCCATAAACAAATCGTTTGGCTACGTGGCATCAGAACCATTCCTTTGCTGTTTGGGATTGAAAATAAATCCAATTCGATCACACTGAAGTTGAACCTTCTAAGCTTGTCACAACAGATCGATTGTTAAATCGAACTCGAATTAACTAGATCCGCTGGATGCTTGCTGAGCTTTTGGGATTTAAATTCACACTTTTAAGTTGACTGGAAAACATCCAAATACTGTATGAGTTCGGGGTAAATGGATCTATTTATTTGCCAGCTGAACTTGCCTTCTTATTATAGAACGGAAAATCTTTTGTGAACTTGATTACTTGGCGTCGCTCTACGGAATATATGCGCAAAAAATGTGCACTCCACAAAAACTAAAGTTTATGATACTTCCTGTAAAACCCTCGGGCAAACTGCAGACTGATGTGTTCAGTTCGGCTAATGCGACATCACGACAGCACAACACCCAGACCAAAACACGATGCGGAAACTAGTGTTATGTGAATGTGTCTGGGTGTGCGTATCCCGTTGGCGTGTTTTTTGAGCTCAGGACAAAAGTCCTTCTCGGAAATGCGTTTTGTTTGAACTTTGTTCACTCAAGCGGATCCACCGGCCGATGATGCTACTTGTATTGCACCATTGACTTCCTTAGAGGCCCTCAGCGTTAAGTTAGCCCACCTCTGTCTGTCCGCTGAAGACTGCGGCACATCGGCTATTCTACATCCCAGGTGCCGGGTGCATGCAAATGCATTTAGAACAAACAATCATTTTGCCAGGTCTCACAAGCCTATTTTCGATGGTAAATCCAAGTAGACCACTAGGGTTCCTTATCGGTAAGCTTGCGTCGGCACATTTTCAACCGAACAGTACTGCAGCTACACAAATATGGTAATATGGTGGTCACTCAGACTCAGTTGAAGTATTTGCGCTCTCAGGGACCGTTTGGGAGTTTTATTGTTGCAGTTCTACTAATCAGGGTTTCAGACGGAATGTGTTCACATCAAAAACTGTGTTATTTATTATTAGGCTGTAAAATTTGACATTCATGACATGATGGCGACGAGTTCCAAATGTCACATGGAACACCGGAAATGTCACAAAATCGGTAGCCTGTCGGTTATCAAGCCAGCGAATTTTTCTACAAAGGTCCAAAATTAAACGAAGATATATTTCTGTCTAGCCAGATCACCCCGCTGTGTTTTAACTTGGTTTCTTATAGGACCCCCTGCTTGTTGTCTAAGCTTTCGTTCATAATATGATCAGCTCTGTGACATCAAAATCAAATCGTCCAGTTGTAGCACCCTTTCGGTGCCTAACTGCCATGCCACCCCATGGTTTCACGAGGGCTGGGATACTGTCAGGTTGCCCAAGCCTAGACAGGTGAAATCGAGAGGCATAGGTCGGATTCGAACCACGGACCTTCCGACCAGTAAATTCGCGCTGTAACCACTTCGGCCATCTCGCCCCAGCTCTGTGACATGATCGATCTTACTTGAATCCTATGAGATAGGGAAAATAGTTATCCTGATGGAGAGCACCATCACCGACCGGTAGAAACTATTGGATTGCTGCAACATCGGTTGGCGCCAAACAATACTCATCTATCACATTGCCGTACTGTAACTCGCAGTTTTTAGGTGGGAGTTATGCCACACGTAAATAGATAGATTACCGACCGGTAGAAACTATTAGATTGCTTCAACATCGGTTGGCGCCAAGCAATACTCATCTATCACATTGCCGTACTCTAACTCGCAGTTTTTAGGTGGGAGTTATGCCACACGTAAATAGATACCGTTGAGTGAGATGGAACGAGAATACGGGAACCAAAGACAGTGGTAAATAGCCATCGTCGTCATCAGGGACACTACTGTACTAAAAAATCCCTACGACAGGCAACCTCTAGAACCTATTTGTGGATAGCATCTGGAAATAATAATGAAACTATTGTGTTCCGATCCTCTCACTCTCGCATTGCCAGGCATTGCTTCGAGATAGGTAACCGAAATCCCGAACAAGCGTCATTACTAATAAGTGACAACAAATACCAAGGGGTTTGTCCAACTTGAAGCCTTTTTAGGCAGACGGACTAGAGGCGGAGTCTGGTTTTCTCAGACGAGAATGAAATTCATTGTTGACATTTGACATAGCTGTTGCCCCTATGAGTACGGCTCACGCCACATCCGTGAACCAATCAGAGGCGGCTATTTAAAGGCATAGCTGAAAATCATGAGCGGAGAATAGAACGCTAAAGATGTATTGAATAATCCCAACATATCCCGATGTATCCCGAAGAATGTATGCTTCAGTTAAAAGAAATCAACCCTGCGATATCATGTGCTCTGTAATGTTGGTCACGAGTATTTGGTTAGCCGTAGAAGCGTCTTCTCAATTGGTTCACTTGGGTTTATATCACCTCTGTGTTTGCAAAAGCGCTTAAATTTTTGTCCGAAGCAAGTTGTTGAGAAACAACGGATTCAGTTCAAACTGAAATGCGATCAAAAAGCTAGATAACGCGAAGCTCATCTCTGAATGTAACGTGAACGAAATCGTAAGTATGCAAAAGTCGTGCCAAAAATCAGCGTAGTGAGTTATGTACTTGGTGTGTGTCCAAAGGAACTACTTGAAGTCTTAAACCATTTGCTTCAGATACATTCATGCCTAGATGCGCTTTAAGCGCAGTCAATTAACAGTTGATTTCCACAAAACGTTTGCGAAAGGCAGGCAGCTAGAGACATTGAAAATTTCGAGCAAATTCTTCTTAATTCAAACTTCATTACAAAGTTCCAAATCCTATACAGAAGCAAGCCAATTCTCCTCTCAAAAGATTCTACCCCCCTAACTTCTGTTCAGAGAAAAGCGAGCACAATGTTTTCTATCAATAATTATCGCCAACTGCAGGCCGCCTACGGCATATGATGCGGATGCTCCCGAAAGTATATCCGTCAAAAATCGCCGTCTTTCACTCATTTGGAAAGCTCCCTGACGTGATTTTTGAGGCCGTTACTCATTATTGAGTACTCAAAGTCTGAATGACAGAATTAATTCTTACCAGCATAGAAAGGCCAATGATAGGCACTGTTGATGAACTCTAATGGAAGCCAAGCTCGAGTCCAGTACCTCCCCATTTTGTATACACCCACCAACAATAATTACGCCAGGACAGAAACAGGACTTTTCAATTGAGAGTGATGTTATCGTGAACCAACCACTGCCGAAAAATTATTGCAACTTAAATTCTACAAATTCCGCAATCCGGCGTTGGTGCTACCTGACTGGCAATTGCGGACAGGCTGGTCAGTCGACTGAAACAACCAGGACACCTAATGGGTCGTCGTTCCGGACCTGAGGTCAGTCGACCAGTTAGTAGTTACTTCGCTGGGGCGCAAATACGGCTACACGTTCAGACGTGCTAATTCAGGCGCGTCTGCAGCGCGTTGGTGGATCAGTGGTTATGCGTTTGCCTCGCGTATGACCAGATGTCCGGAATTCGAGCCTTGACAGAGCCAAAGTTGCGTAACACTGATGAGCCTCAGTGACAACTTCCACAATTTTATGTGGACTGTTAATTGCTCCACGATAGGAGGAGAGCTTTGCAGACTCGAATGATGTGGACATAATCCACTGAAACCGTTATCTGTTAACTTTAAAGTAGTCACCGGCCTGATGGTACTTTTTGCTTTAGTGATTATTCAGTGAACTTCTGGAGGTCCATTTATCACAAAAATTCAGTTTTGTGTTATGCCATATAGCCTTTTTCAAAAAAAAAATTACGTCACGTTCGTGGAAACCTCATACTAAGTCTTATGGTGTTATATGATATTGATTGACTTTCCATAATGTTTGCCGTCTAAGTAATTGCGAAGGTAATTTTTCGTATCCATTTTATGGTCAGATTTGTGTTAAATTGTTTCAACTTTGGTGATGATTACACGTCTCCAAACCAGATCACAGATCATGACTGTTCCCTTTCTTTGAACAGGTCTACTACGGTCCTGATGAATATATCATTCGAGAAGGGGAAATCGGTGAAACTTTCTTTATCATCCAGTCGGGAAAAGTATGTTCCACCATAGCCAGTTTGAATACTTCATCTGTTGGCATATCTTGACCCGAACAGCTGTGCAAAGGTTTCGAGAAAAGGTTTTCGAGAACTACACTCATTTGCAAATCAATTGGGTTTTCACGGGGGACTCAACTGAATCTCTCGTTTATGATATTCTACAACTGAATGTGCTGCACACCGGCCGCCTCATGTTTCAGCTGGCATGATATTCGAGATATCGCAGTATATTTTCATGAAAGGAAATTACTCACAAGGGTGCTGAAAACTTTTCGAAGAACTTTCAGCAACCTTGTGAGTAGTTTCCTTCATGAAAACGTAGGTTTTCGTCCATAACAAACTCACAAGCGTAAAGTTACGATAAATCCCTCGTCGCATTCTCACTGCAGCTACTGCCTCTAAATATGCATAGAAGCTATAAACGTTTGCTTCCTTATTTATGAAGATCAGTTTCTCGTAAAATTTTTCATGGTATCCTGGTTGGACAGAGAAGTTGAAGGAATTTAATCAGTCAACTCAGTGGTTTAGGTAATCGTTGTCCACTTTGATATATCTGAAACGACCCAAACTGATACTCATAGACGTGTGCAGGTGTTAACCATTTATGTTCCCGAATCTAACCTATCACTCTCAAAACGAGCTAACGTCTGCTCCTTACATTGAAACTTGGACACACTGTTGATCAATGAAAGAGCATCACAGAGCTTATATGGCGTAATTCTCACAGGTCGCGTGCAATAGGCTGCTACCTCACCCTTGATACACTTCCGATTGTTTAGTGAAACTGTGGAGACATTCGAGAACTTCTGTGTGCATTTTTGCTGCTGCTGATGACGGTGATTAACACAATTCTATCTATCTCGTACTCGATAAGTATTTTTGGTTTCTGAGATCTAGTGAGGTCCAGTTTCCACTGTAGGCAAAACTGTGGTCAACTAGTCCGTGTTTTTCTAACGGGTCTAGCAAAACCTTGAACTTCTCACATCAGATTTTCGGATTTATTGAGGTGAAAGCTGAGAACTAACCCACCGTAAATGGGTACTGACCGTTGTGTTTGGAATCAGTTAGCTTTAGCCTTCCCTGAGAACAAAGGAGAAAGTTCCTTCAGTCGTGTTTTTTATTCGATTGACTCAGCAAATGGTTTTGGGCGATGATGAACGTGGAAAAGATCAATGAACCTTGACCATGCTGGTAACATTAGGGATGAATTGGATCTCAAAACGTTTTTCACATTGAGGGAAAGACCAGCCGCTCAATCAAAGCAGTTTTAACCAGCGTGGAGGGATGCACCACTCTCAGTGAGGAAGTTTTTTTAGTCGTAGAAGGCTCGTTTTCTATGGAGTCTAGAGCACTCTGTCAAAGGGGAAACACATTCGGTCTCGAGTCAGACATGCATCTCGTTAGCTTTTTCATATTGAGTAAAGCAAGGCCCGGTCATGTGACACGAGTTTGGAGTGCGGCCAGATCTAAGGTCTGACTTTGTATGGTGTTATTCAGCTGTGCAGGCTGTGTGCTAGGGGATGAACTAAGGTAGAAGTGCTCGAAAGCCGTTAATTCAGGAAGAATCTCTAGGAAGAATCATGGTTGCGCTAGTGGGCCACTAGCCTATTTAAGCAGCAGAAGTCAGTTTTACAGAACAGCTTAACATGCTATTGAGAGTGAGAGGACAGCGCAAATTCCTACGAAAAACAAGCATAAATGTGACGAATTTTCTATTACCCTATTTCCTTGGGGTAATCTCTCCTCTTTGCCTAAAACTCCAAATAAATGTCAGCTTTTCCGCTCAGGTGATTGCTTGCTAATTAACCTTCCACTCTGTTGCAGGTACGGGTCACGAAATCTGTTGGTGACTGCCAAAAGTCGAAAGAGATTCGCCAGCTTTATGCCGGGGATTGTTTTGGTGAGAAAGCATTATACAAGTGAGTGTTTTGACAAGTTTTCGTTCGGCTTTGATAGTTATCCGGACCTTGGTGCGAAATAAATGCACCAAGTTCAAGCCTACATGCCTGCTTGTTAGGCGGGTCGCCAAACAGCACTGAAATCTACACACCTGCCTTGAAACTACTGTTTGGTACTTGGGTTACGTTTTCGACTCAACCTGACGATTAGCGCGATTAATATCTGACCCGTCCAGTCTTGTTCGTCTGCCATAATGGATGAAATGACCTAGAGAGTCTGTTTGTCCGTGCGCACTGGTCAGAATGATATCCACGCTTTAGATTACTTAAGTTTGCGAAGTTAACAAAATGGCCATCAGTAACGACATTGAGTACGATGCTGCGTCTCCAAGAAGCTTCTGCAGATGCTGGGTTTTGTTTAGAGAAGGGTTTGTATATCCTTACACTGTGCACTTGTACTGGCATCTACCCTACGTACCGCGCCCAACAGTTGGGATATTCAAGCATATAAAAGTCCTTAGGTTTTCTTTTATCATCTTGCCTCATTTTCTCACTATATACCGCATGGTTGGCTGCCTGAATATTACAATCATACGGTGCAATCTGAATGCATACTTCAAACACATAGGAGTTTGTTTCTTGTTTTTCAATGTTTCCAGAGGAACGTTTCCCAACAAGCTACTGCGGCTAGCCACTGTTTTGTTGGACTTCGGCTGAACGTTTTTACTCGGCTTCTTGGTCGTTCTCCATGCGGTCAAGCCCATCGCACTGCCCAGTTTGGCATGTAAAATACATGTTGACTTACGGTAGAAATACCGATATTAGTGTGTCAATTTTTGATGTTGCCTCACTTGCGCTCAAGATGCTGGCTGGAACTAGGGAGCTTATGCTCAATGCTTCACACTGTATTGTAAGCCTAATACAATAGCGCAAAAATATTAAGTCCTAACAAAACGTGTATCTTCAATACAGCCTATCCTGAATTTTCGACAAGCCTTAAAGGCTTCCAGTGGCTTTGACTTTAAGGGTAAAATGGAACCAAAGGGATTCTTCCAGGTCTTTCAGGAGAGGTTCGATCATCCATAATTCCAGAATTTCCAGAGTGTTTAATTTTCGTAGGTTCAGTGCGTTTATGTGAACCCAAAGAAAGATGTTCCGATGAGTCTTATTCACAGCCGTTTTGTTTATGATAGCAGTGATGTGACTTTTACCATCCTCCGTCAGATGGATGACGTTTACCAGCTTCAAAAGGTTTCGCAACTTCTTCTCTGGCAACTCTGTATTCTTGCTCGTTCATTTAAACAACTTTCAACGGGTTTCATATATTGTTAGCAGTTAAATCAAGTTGAAAAGTTGTTGCCCTTCATCTGGAAACTTATTGTCGGAAGAGTTTGGTAATCGCCCAGTTGCTGGGCGTGAAATCGACAGACTGAATCAGATCAGTAATCCCTCTCCATACAACACAGAATATTGTTTGGTTTCTTTACACTTGCCGTCAATTTTTAATCAGTTTTCTTGCAAAAATTCCCTGGGTCACTGGAGCATTCGTCATTCCTGACATTCGACGCATTACTGAAGTTTCAACCGCTTTCAGACCAATTTGCGAATTACGTCTCAAGAGGTCGAATTTTATTGAGTCCAAGCTTCTTTCTACCACAGAAGCGATTCCTGTCCGTAATTCTAAGCCATACGGAAGTGATCTGTACAGACGTTTCGTCTCACCTAACTGGCAATCACTTGTCAACCTCGCGTAAATGGCTAAACTCACACCAGTTTTATCGATCTCAACCAGTGAAAACCGACCGACGTCCACCATTTTTATGTGGACTACCTACCCAATCTATAAGCCGTGTCTGAAGGTAAAAGACGTCGTGACAAGACTGCTACAGTCGTTCGCTCAATAGTTCCCCTGATTGGTTCAGATGTCGATTCGAATCACCGTAAAAGCGCGCTGCCTCCTTTCGTGTGCTGGGAGGCCTATCTAGATAGAGAGAATACCCTTTAAAAAACAAGACAATTGATCATAAGAGGCCAAATTGTCTAATGTTTTATATCAAGGGTTATCCGACAAATGCCAGTGAATTGATTCAGCTTCATCTCTGCATTAAAAAAGAAACGGCAATTCGAAATGTCTTTTTAACATTCGATGGGACCGAACAGTGTTAATACGAGTTTTATAGAAGCATCTGTTTCAATGCTTGCACCATTGTCCTGATACATTCTTTTTAACTTCGATGGGACCGAACAGTGTTAATACGAGTTTTATGGAAGCATCTGTTTCAATGCTTGCACCATTGTCCTGATACATCGCGGGGCAAATAGAACTGAAAGTACCTCATTCTATGGCTTGTCCAAATTTAGCATATTCAGTTATGTCCAACGTTAAATCAGATTATCGTATATCGAAACCGGCTGACTGTCAGGGAAATTCGGATATTCAGATAGAGACGTAGAAACACCAGTAGGGTGGTCAAAACACAAACGAACGACCGCGTTACAGCCCAGATGGTCGAAAATCCTAATCCGACGTTGGTCACATTAGTAGAATCATCTCAGTGGAATTTGCGCTCGGCTAGCCAAGGGAAAAGGAAGTCAACCTCTTTGTTCACTCTCGTAACATTACTCAGCAAGTAATCAGATGCGAACCCGACTGTTTTCAAATACCTATCTGTTAGACACAAGCTGCTTGTCCAGTTGAGATTGAATGTCTAAATAGAGTTCGATGGCAGTAATGTCGACAAAACCCGTGCGAATAAACAATGGGTCAGTTTTGCACATTTTGATGAATCGCGTTTAAGCTCAGAGAACACGGAGCAACTTTGAGTAACTGGGTCTTCCATTTCTAAGCCTTTGCATATCTGCTACACTGCTCCTAACAATTACTGATTTTACAGCCTGAAATCAAACGTAAATACATTTTCAGAGCATATTGGTGTTTGGGAGTCTCATACTTCCGCTTTTAATGGCAGCACATTTGACCTCAAGTGGAGTATCTGATCATCTATTGATGCTTTCACGTCTGAATGTCAAATGGTACGGAACCAGCCGACCCAGGTTTATGACTTGTCACTTTCCATTTGCATCAATATAAAAAATTGTGACAGGGAATGCTAATAGTATCCAGTATCTTTCGATCCCTGTAGTTTGGATTAGCTTACCTAGATCAATTCAGGCCAACAGATTACAATCAGCCAGCTCAGTCTGCAAAATAGCTACCCTGAAAATATTGGTGAATCCAACATGGACTATGTCTTCGAGTTCATCCGACACATAAGTCAAGATTAACAGAAGCCCCATGGCCCTTTGGCTCCTTGAAACTAACACCCAACACGAGCTCTTCGTATACCTATATTATAAGTTCTAAATTTGGCTTTGCGTGTTTACATCACGTTTACTTTATCAGAGGAAAATGTGCTCCACGGTGTGTCAAAATTACGCTTGCGTTCCTTAATGAAGACAACACTTCACACGCGCTGCATTTTTGCTGGGTGCGTTTTTTTTAAAAAAAATTGGTTTATCTGATCATTTTGCATTTTGTTCAGTGGTAATCCCATGAGACTACCTTATTTCCCAAGTCTGATTACCAGCCCAAAGTTGACGATAATCTTTTTGAAAATTTTACTTTCTTTCAGTTCTGAAAAACGCAGTGCGAATGTGATTTCTATGGAATCGGGAGTCTATCTGTTATCCCTGGATAGAAGGTGAGTAAAAGTGGAAGCTAGTGTTACTTTCTTTGTTTGATTAGATTCGATGCGCGATGTGCGTCGGAGACAACAACCTATGTGTACACATTAGAGTAGATAGGTTGCGGCATCCTCTCCGACATTTGACTAACCTAACTACTGAAATCATCTGTCCGAGCGAGTGACCTTCAGTGCTCACATGATGCGCCTTGACAAAGCAAAATGTATTAACCGTCGGATATACTGCAAGCTAAAAACGGGTTTTTACCTTTAGAGTACATATATTTATTGTTTGTTGTATTGTGCGAGTGAAACGCGACCTCGGGTGATGCATCTTTTCTAAGTCGAGTAAAATATCCTGTACGCATCAACTTTTCAGCGTTGTTTGCGACCAGTATTACCCAAAATAAAGAAGCGAGGCCTCCCCCGATCGGTCTAACCCGAACCTCGTTTTTCCTAAAAAAAACCCAGTCCACGGACCACAGGAATGTTAGTTTGTCGACCAATCGACAATTGTCCTTTCTTATTTCGTATTATAACCGTGTAGATATGCCTCCATGTGCACTGGTGCTACGGAATACAATCAATTCCTGACTGGTGTAGTAGTCACGTTGATCATTGTTTATATGAAAAATACGGGAGGCGTGGTCACATTGTTGATGCATTCGAGCAAAAAACCACTGACGAGGGACTCCGTGCAGAATTCACTGGAAAACGAACCTCGCTGAACGCCGAAGACTCCAGGGATAGTGGATTCATAGTCGTTGGCTTTTCTAGCCTAAAATGGTGTACTTATAGTTCAAGAAATCCCGGTCTTGCTGATGCCGCATTTTAAAGAAGTTGTTCAAGTTGTATAAGCCTGTGCGTTAGAATCCTCGAAGAAATAGGACTGTTGCAACCTAATCAAAGACGTTAAGAACTACTCGTATCGTACAAGGGAGTTTTAGCTGACTCATCCATTGGCACCAATGTGATTGGCAAATGAACGTATTTCGTCATTTATTAGTAAATTTTCTTCTACAATATACTTGCTGACACGTTTCATGTTGTGCGCTTGAATTGTGTCCTGTGCCTCCAAAGATAGTGCGTGTTAACAATTATAAAGAGACAGAACTCCCTATCTGTTTCACAATGTAATTATTCGAAAATCCACCTATGCCTGGTTTTCAGTCAGTAGACAATATCATCTCCAACCTATTAGGCAAAACACTAATCTAGGATGCTAAAATTTGGTTGGGTGTCGAATATCGTTCACTTTGTCCGCGCTTCGAATACCTGACTCATCTACTTCCGTGGGCAACCTCATTATTATTTCGATAACTGTCATTTCCAAAACAGTTTCCATCCCATACATGGCATTTTGAAAACCACCTGGAAAATGTTATATACGTACCCATCGAAGGAATTCCTGTGATAGGACCAAAGTAATTAATGACCTGATATCAATGGCACCAGATAATCCATAGGAAGTTTATAAAGTATGCTCAAATTCGCCTCCTGACACATCAGTCGACGTTCCTACTATTTGTATCTTCAAATAGGAGTAGAGATCGATTCCTATCTCAGAATGAAACTGTAAGGAAGTTTGGTGTGAGGCGGAGGTAGAGTACACATTGTTCTGGTGGCACTGGGGGTAAAACAAAAATAAATTGATTTTACTGTCAAGATTGTTTGATCGGTCATTTTAGATGCCTGATGTTGTTTACTGCCTACTACAAATAACCCTTTGGATGAAAGATCCAAGCGCCAGATTAGAACCGCTTGACAGCCTGTGTGCGCCACAGAATCTGACAGAATCCACTTGCAGGAAATTCTGTTTGTACTGGAAGAGAGGTAGTCAGTGAAACAATAAACAACAGGCGTGCATGAAAAACGGAAATTATGGTCATCGATGATTGTATGTGGTGACCGAAGGGACGTCACGTTTGTAGGACTGTTTTGCGACCGATTTCCGCACACAACGCCGAGAGTTGCCTTGTTTGTGGGCGCCGTAAACACTGATACCATTGAGTTGTGGATGAAAGCAAAACGGCCACAAGCAAACCTGGTGTCACTTCATAAGCAAAATAAAATATGGTACGGTATCACAAAGAATGAATGTGAACTGGTACACAAAACATATATGCTTCCCATCCACCCATACCTCTAGATTGTAAGGAATTTCCGGTTGATATCTGCATCTCTTCTTTTCCTCAACAAGTGGATAGACTTTCCTGCCAACCTACAAATTATGTCCAGTTATAGTCAGGAAAACTTCTTAGTCGTTAATTTTGAAGTTATCTGAGGTGTTCCCAACTCATATCTTTTCTAGCAGCTGGATCGAAAAGATCGCAGTGGTTTACGGGTAACCAACATGGTTATCTCCTTACCTGTTTTGTGTGGACTCTTTCACGTTTATCGTCTTTTTGGAATCTTGTAGCCGTTGATTTTGGGGATCAGTCTTGTTTTGATAGTTGCTATTACTAATACCATTGTTATTCTTAGTATTATTATTATGACGATGATGACTGATGTTTTCCTCACTGGCTGAAAATTTTAGTTCATTCTTCGACGTTTTCGACAATGGTAAAACGGAAAGTCTAGCGGTCTTCGGTAGGCTCCACTTTCATTTTATCAGGAACGGAAAGAGATTGTCCCGACTTTTCTGTCACCTACACAAAAAACACAATATATCCCATCTGTGCTGCGTTTTGAGGAACCTCTAACTCTGAGGACTATAGAACACTTCTATTCTAACTCTGGGACTATAGAACACTTCTATTCTTCCTGTTTTCAGCAATTTTATCCACCTGATTGGAGATTTGAACGAAATAAAGTCGAAGGATTATGACAAGCTGGAAGACAGGTAAGTTCATCGATTGCTTTGCGATTTATTTGGTGATATCAACCAGTTACTTTAAATCATTTTCATCCAAAGTCGATCACTGCTAGAATCCGTTTTTTTACTGATTTACTCCTCAAGGCATTTTAGCAGGTGGATCTATCATCGATAAGAAATCTGGTAGCATTATATTGACTTTTCCCAGTGCAATCATAATCCGAGGAAATAAGCCTCCCATGAACATAGTGGAAACGATTGGTGGTTTATCCTTCAAAAGAAATTATGGCGATGCACAAAACCATTGACGTATACTTTGGATAGACGATCAGGTTAAACCAAAGATTACATAAGTGGTGTTGCTTTGCCATTCCCGTCGGCAAGCAGGTTCTTCTTGACTTGTCCTTTGTTATCCACTGTTCAAATGAATCAGTCTTCATTACGTTGCAAAGTTTAAGGTCGTAAAACTGGATTAAAGGACAAAAAAGCAATTGAAACCGACTTTTGAGTGAGCTCATCGTTTTCGCTTAATCAGAAACGATCGATTTCAAACTACTTCCTTTCTTGAGACGACAGAGTTAATTTAATTCGGTGTCGTATGGCCAGCCCTAGCTTGCTACTGAGAGGGCACATCTTCCAGAGCGTGCCTCTTCTGGAGGACTGTTTTGAGCAAATAACTGACTCTCAAGTGGCCGCTGTGGTGAGATTGTAATCGAATACTATCGTTAAATTTGATCAACAAATAAACGAATGTTCACGTAGCTTACATTTCAGCAAGCGACGTAAGGCATCATTCTTCAAAATGTGGAATCTGTTTTAGTTCCCACAACAGTCACCGGCCGAGCCCTTTTGCGCCGTTGCGGACGTGCTATTTCGAAAATTCGACTGTTAAAGACTGATTTGAATATTCCTGAAAGAGACTTAATTAAGAATTCATCGCTGATGGTAAAAGTGAATTTTCTTGCCGTTAAAATTTGAGCCTATTTTTGGCTGAATATCGTCAATTGCGAATCAGCCATTCATTGGACAATCCACTTAGGATGTCGTGGCCTGATATAAAGTGCAGCATTTCTGCTGCTCCGTTGTTGTCACTTTTGCAATGAGTGAGAACCACATCCTGAAGTTAGCTCTTTTTCTCAGCGTATCCGTGGATGTTCATGAAAATCATACCAAAGCCAAAGTCATTAGAGTTCGCTTTGTTTCACCTGTTGTATTAGAGGGAAGTAATTTCTCGCATCAGTGAGTATTAGCGTTTAATTCCGGATCTCTAGTTTAGGTATATTCATGATGGCCTATCTAGTAAATATATCCGTATGAATTACACATATGTCCATAACGATACTGTCTGCAAGGCAAACAAATGTGCAGAAGTCAGACGTTGGAACACATCGTCTGAAATGGTCCTTACCCTTCCATAGCTTGATATCATTAGCGCCCTAGACATTTTAAGAGTGTCATGGCCTCTCCCGAACCCGATAATGTGAACCTTTAAACTCAGCAGGTTACTCCACCCAAATGAATCTAGGTCCAAATATAGGTCTAAATATATCAAAACTGATCATTGATCAAGTTCAAAAAATCCATTTCTTTCGAGGGAAAACGTTTGGATTTTTAGCCGTCCTGCTGGGCACAGAGCTTTTCTTCTACAAGAGACCAACTGATTTGAAACGATGTTCAATTTAAACTTCGATTCAGATAAAAAATCCTCCTTAGTCTTACAAATCTCTGATCGTCTCAAATCCGGCAAGATATGAGACTACTTTCATTTTTCATCCTGTTCTTTGAAATCTTATCGTTTTCGCAAACATGAAATAAAATCAGTCAGACAAACGGGAAACTGTCCTCTGCGGTACGACTGAACTGGTTTGGGACATAGACTAAAGCACCAAGTGTCATGGCAACACACCGGAACTTTGTTCCCTTTAAACGAAACAACTATGGCCTGCACAACTACTTTTCCGTTCTACAAAACAAACCATACATTCGAGACTGATCAGCACCGCGGAGAAGTAGCCAATCTATTTGTAATTGTTTTGTGTAAACTCACTCACCAAGGCAGGAATTTTGTCGCCCCATACACAAAATCTACGCAACTGCTAGTACTGACGTGTGCACCGCTGTCGAATTCCAGTTACCATATCACGTAGGATTTGACGTGATCGTCCACTTTTAGGGCATCGGCCAACCCAACACACAACACCACCCAATGCAAAATTCACTATGAATTGATAGTTGTGTGTTTCAGGCATCGGGACTAGGTGCACAAACCCGAAAAGTTTCTCCGATGGAATGGAACAGTAGGCAGTTGCTACCAGGCATGCACTGTACCATGGGCTGCTAAGTACAGTCTGGTGCACAGACATGTGTGGATAGTCTGTGGGTAAGACGTGAATTTAGATGAACGGATAAACCGTGATGAACCGCTTAATTCCGCGTGCCAGTCACAGTGCTTCTGTCACCGGACAGTTCGTAATAATAGTTTTCCAGAGTTTGACCAGTTACCTCATTCGAGTTTCCTTCTCCCTGGCACATTTCTGCACATTCTGCTCCTCGCGAAGGCTATTTACTTGATCTGTATCATTCATTTGGTTATTCGGTTGGGGCATACCAGGGATTCACAACCTGATTGATTTCAACTAAAGCTGTCTGCGGACCGATAGTTAACAATATCCTTCATATCTTTGTAATGTACTGCTCAGAAGGTTGCTGAAAATTCCTGGACAGCCCACGACCGGTTTCGTCCTTTTTGGGTCTCATCAGGTAGGCGCAGTCCCCGGGGTTTCCGTCAACCTTAAGTTCTACTTGAAACCTTCATATACCTAAAAAAACGTTCATCGACAGCCTTGTCGTGTTCGGATCTTCAGTCGACCATTTGTCAATCGTGAACCCCAGTCTGTAACCTGTTGACGTACTCGATAGAAACCGCAAGAGAGTTCGGTTGATTTGCAAATAAACTGCTCGTTCCCGCCGCTTTTCAGCCGGACAATAACTTGGTATCGTGAAGATTAGATTATTGGAACCATGCGATAGCTATACGTCATCCATTCGGTTCAAGTATACCAAATACGGAAGGCTGATTTTAGAATCTTTCGAATTTCCTGTTTGTACCGACTGAGAATTTGAGCAAATCACAAAGAACCCTACACATAACTTTGGTGTTCAAGTTACCTTGAAGATTGGTTGGCATTGAGGGAAATCGTCAATTTGTGCTCACAAAATAGTGATGACACTAGAAGTGAGCGGTCGACAAGCTTTTGTCAAATCTGAAGAGCACTGTGGTTTACAGCTGACGTGGCTAGACCTGTCTCTGTCAAGGTATTTCTTGTTGATTAGGAAAGTTGTTTACGTCGATTTTATCAGTGACACAGCATGTGTATGTGAGGAATAGCCCCGTTGTGTATCATCTTTCCTATTGCGAATGATGCTGAAGCGATCATCTCTTGTGACGGAGGAATGTGTGTAACGCAGAATCACCCCTAAAAAAAGTTCAGTAAGATAGCTTTGGTGCACCTGGTATTGGTAGACAATTTCACTGTTGCTTGAGTACCGTCAGCATTCATATGTGGGGAGAGCTGTCAATAAGCTGAGAGTTATCGACAAATTTCTCAATGGACAAAGTTTCCGGAGTTCGGTTGCGTAACAAGACAACGAAATAATAATTTGGCTCAGCCAGATGACCCATTTGTGACAGGCACTTAACAATATGTCTAAGAAGGTCGAACGCATCCCGAAATTTCAGCAATTGCTTTCCTGCACTCGCAGCCGACGATCAGTCAGTTCCTAGATTCGACAATTGTTTTTCGATTGCTTGAAACGTATCAGACAGTAGGTTTTCGCTTAATCAGAAACGATCGATTTCAAACTACTTCCTTTCTTGAGACGACAGAGTTAATTTAATTCGGTGTCGTATGGCCAGCCCTAGCTTGCTACTGAGAGGGCACATCTTCCAGAGCGTGCCTCTTCTGGAGGACTGTTTTGAGCAAATAACTGACTCTCAAGTGGCCGCTGTGGTGAGATTGTAATCGAATACTATCGTTAAATTTGATCAACAAATAAACGAATGTTCACGTAGCTTACATTTCAGCAAGCGACGTAAGGCATCATTCTTCAAAATGTGGAATCTGTTTTAGTTCCCACAACAGTCACCGGCCGAGCCCTTTTGCGCCGTTGCGGACGTGCTATTTCGAAAATTCGACTGTTAAAGACTGATTTGAATATTCCTGAAAGAGACTTAATTAAGAATTCATCGCTGATGGTAAAAGTGAATTTTCTTGCCGTTAAAATTTGAGCCTATTTTTGGCTGAATATCGTCAATTGCGAATCAGCCATTCATTGGACAATCCACTTAGGATGTCGTGGCCTGATATAAAGTGCAGCATTTCTGCTGCTCCGTTGTTGTCACTTTTGCAATGAGTGAGAACCACATCCTGAAGTTAGCTCTTTTTCTCAGCGTATCCGTGGATGTTCATGAAAATCATACCAAAGCCAAAGTCATTAGAGTTCGCTTTGTTTCACCTGTTGTATTAGAGGGAAGTAATTTCTCGCATCAGTGAGTATTAGCGTTTAATTCCGGATCTCTAGTTTAGGTATATTCATGATGGCCTATCTAGTAAATATATCCGTATGAATTACACATATGTCCATAACGATACTGTCTGCAAGGCAAACAAATGTGCAGAAGTCAGACGTTGGAACACATCGTCTGAAATGGTCCTTACCCTTCCATAGCTTGATATCATTAGCGCCCTAGACATTTTAAGAGTGTCATGGCCTCTCCCGAACCCGATAATGTGAACCTTTAAACTCAGCAAGTTACTCCACCCAAATGAATCTAGGTCCAAATATAGGTCCAAATATATCAAAACTGATCATTGATCAAGTTCAAAAAATCCATTTCTTTCGAGGGAAAACGTTTGGATTTTTAGCCGTCCTGCTGGGCACAGAGCTTTTCTTCTACAAGAGACCAACTGATTTGAAACGATGTTCAATTTAAACTTCGATTCAGATAAAAAATCCTCCTTAGTCTTACAAATCTCTGATCGTCTCAAATCCGGCAAGATATGAGACTACTTTCATTTTTCATCCTGTTCTTTGAAATCTTATCGTTTTCGCAAACATGAAATAAAATCAGTCAGACAAACGGGAAACTGTCCTCTGCGGTACGACTGAACTGGTTTGGGACATAGACTAAAGCACCAAGTGTCATGGCAACACACCGGAACTTTGTTCCCTTTAAACGAAACAACTATGGCCTGCACAACTACTTTTCCGTTCTACAAAACAAACCATACATTCGAGACTGATCAGCACCGCGGAGAAGTAGCCAATCTATTTGTAATTGTTTTGTGTAAACTCACTCACCAAGGCAGGAATTTTGTCGCCCCATACACAAAATCTACGCAACTGCTAGTACTGACGTGTGCACCGCTGTCGAATTCCAGTTACCATATCACGTAGGATTTGACGTGATCGTCCACTTTTAGGGCATCGGCCAACCCAACACACAACACCACCCAATGCAAAATTCACTATGAATTGATAGTTGTGTGTTTCAGGCATCGGGACTAGGTGCACAAACCCGAAAAGTTTCTCCGATGGAATGGAACAGTAGGCAGTTGCTACCAGGCATGCACTGTACCATGGGCTGCTAAGTACAGTCTGGTGCACAGACATGTGTGGATAGTCTGTGGGTAAGACGTGAATTTAGATGAACGGATAAACCGTGATGAACCGCTTAATTCCGCGTGCCAGTCACAGTGCTGCTGTCACCGGACAGTTCGTAATAATAGTTTTCCAGAGTTTGACCAGTTACCTCATTCGAGTTTCCTTCTCCCTGGCACATTTCTGCACATTCTGCTCCTCGCGAAGGCTATTTACTTGATCTGTATCATTCATTTGGTTATTCGGTTGGGGCATACCAGGGATTCACAACTGATTGATTATCAACTAAAGCTGTCTGCGGACCGATAGTTAACAATATCCTTCATATCTTTGTAATGTACTGCTCAGAAGGTTGCTGAAAATCCGTCGACAGCCCACGACCGGTTTCGTCCTTTTTGGGTCTCATCAGGTAGGCGCAGTCCCCGGGGTTTCCGTCAACCTTAAGTTCTACTTGAAACCTTCATATACCTAAAAAAACGTTCATCGACAGCCTTGTCGTGTTCGGATCTTCAGTCGATCATTTGTCAATCGTGAACCCCAGTCTGTAACCTGTTGACGTACTCGATAGAAACCGCAAGAGAGTTCGGTTGATTTGCAAATAAACTGCTCGTTCCCGCCGCTTTTCAGCCGGACAATAACTTGGTATCGTGAAGATTAGATTATTGGAACCATGCGATAGCTATACGTCATCCATTCGGTTCAAGTATACCAAATACGGAAGGCTGATTTTAGAATCTTTCGAATTTCCTGTTTGTACCGACTGAGAATTTGAGCAAATCACAAAGAACCCTACACATAACATTAGTGTTCAAGTTATCTTGAAGATTGGTTGGCATTGAGGGAAATCGTCAATTTGTGCTCACAAAATAGTGATGACACTAGAAGTGAGCGGTCGACAAGCTTTTGTCAAATCTGAAGAGCACTGTGGTTTACAGCTGACGTGGCTAGACCTGTCTCTGTCAAGGTATTTCTTGTTGATTAGGAAAGTTGTTTACGTCGATTTTATCAGTGACACAGCATGTGTATGTGAGGAATAGCCCCGTTGTGTATCATCTTTCCTATTGCAAATGATGCTGAAGCGATCATCTCTTGTGACGGAGGAATGTGTGTAACGCAGAATCATCCCTAAAAAAGTTCACTAAGATAGCTTTGGTGCACCTGGTATTGGTAGACAATTTCACTGTTGCTTGAGTACCGTCAGCATTCATATGTGGGGAGAGCTGTCAATAAGCTGAGAGTTATCGACAAATTTCTCAATGGACAAAGTTTCCGGAGTTCGGTTGCGTAACAAGACAACGAAATAATAATTTGGCTCAGCCAGATGACCCATTTGTGACAGGCACTTAACAATATGTCTAAGAAGGTCGAACGCATCCCGAAATTTCAGCAATTGCTTTCCTGCACTCGCAGCCGACGATCAGTCAGTTCCTAGATTCGACAATTGTTTTTCGATTGCTTGAAACGTATCAGACAGTAGGGTTTAAGGCACAACACACAATCCTTCAAGTCGGTCTGTGCTGAACCACTGTTTTGCTCACGCAAAGCCTAAATCCGTTAAGTTAGGTTCAGCTTGATTAGATATACATTTCACCGCAAGTTACTATCCGTTATACTTCCTCCCCACTCTGTTGCCTCTAACACATCAAAGTCAAGTAGGTAACCTCTATCTCCTTTGCTCACAGGGCCATCCACCCTACCCAAGATGAAGAAGCGTCAAAATATCGTGAAGTCCCAGGAGAACCCACTGAACAGGTGAAATTGACGGATCTGGAGCGGGTGGCTGTCCTGGGTGTTGGTGGATTTGGCTGTGTGGATCTCGTAAGTGATCACCGTATTTGCATTAATGTTTACTGAGAAAAGCTTGTTCACGTCTAGATGAAAGACATCACATCACATCGCATAAGCAGGTTCACTGTTGCCGCTAGAGGTGTTTTCCTCTTGAGTTTTTACAAGTTTAGCTTACCGGTTTCACTATTCACAGTGGCGTTTGCAAAAACAAGAGCAACTGTGGAAACTCGAGGTATACTCGATTCCGCTGTTTTTCAAACGGGTACTGAATTTTGGTTCAACGCGAATGCTTAAAAGCATTTTCTGGGACGGACCTTTAATCAGTTCAACCAGAGACTGACCTTGAATTGAACGTCTCTTTACTTCTAAACCTGTGAATTCAAACTGAACCAGAAGAGCAAACACGTAATGATTATAAGAAACATTTGCAGAAATGTCCCTACAGGACAATAGAAATAACAAGTGGATTTTGCTGAACAGTCTAGGTCTTTTTTTCTAATAAACCCACTTACTCAAAAAAGCCGAACGCAGTTCTGTTCTGGTTTCCTCTGAGAGGCCATTCTGATGTATTGGACCAAGGCTATTTGCACGCCAAAACTGAGGCGTGCCATCGAACAACAAGGCAAGGCTTTCAACGACGCACTACCAGACTAATACAATAATATGTAAAGAATTTAATTTCCTGAAACGGAGTTCTGTTGGACAATGTATGTTCATCTGCTTTCAGTTCTTGACGGACATATGAATGACTGCCTCGAAATGTTCTGAGGTTAGTTTTGGACAGATTAAATTTGGTAACCGGGACAATCCAGACACGCCATTTTAAAACGGAGTTCTGTTGGACTATGTATATCCATCTGCTTTCGGTTCCTGATGGACATACGAATGACTGTCTCGAAATGTTCTGAGGTTAGTTTTGGATAAATTAAATATGGTAACCGGGACAATCCAGACACGCCATTTGACGTGGTCTGCCGTGTTCTTTATACAAACTGTCACGGCCTAGACTGTCACCATCAAACTCCATTAATCCACACAACGATTGCAAACCAACCCTGTTGTAACAGTGGAACTTCCCTAACCTTGACCATCTCTCCACATCCAGCAGTTTAACGGAAACCAAACTCAGCCGCATACCCACCAGGAAGTTACTTTAAACTTACCACAGAATCACCGCTGTCCGAAAAATTCCGTTTCAATATCTTTGATTTGTTTGTACCGACCCTTTGAGTACTCAATGAGAACATTGTCTGCCACAATGTGAAATCTACTGTTTACATACTCTCATCTTTTTTGCCTAATGTTCCAGCATCAGATTGTCTGGTAAAACGACGAGGATCAGCTGTCAGTCATTCAGTCCTAGATCCCTCGTGATGCACCATTCTGACTGATTCCATGCGTTACATTAAACTCACGCTGTAACGCTTGCGGTATTCTTCGGCTCCACATTACACATACATACTAATTTGATATACGTTTGCACTGAAGCACTAGATGACACTCAGTTTACTAACTTTGCCTCGTCAGTTTATTTATGCGGGCCGTTTGTAAACATTGAGGGATGGGTTTCCGATAACACTCTATATACAAACTTCAGGAAGTCGGCCACTGAAGTCACCTGCACCGTAAAAACCCCTTGGCATATCCTGGTTGGAATCTGCGTCTGCATCTGTGTGACTCTTATTATTGAAGCCACCTTACGTTTTATGAAATTCCACGTTAGCACTGTACTCTTGAATGCACCTGACTGCCTTGACAAATGAAACTTGCCTTATTTCATTCCTGATGCACCCTTCTTAAAGGGTTATAAGCAGAACAAGACGTGTAATTCATTGCTTTTTCACGACTAGCCACATCGCGCCCAACAGTGGAAACAATTAGCAATCTATTTGCGAGTTCACACCCGGTTCTCCCACCAGCGATTCAGTTTAGGACTGCAAAATCCGTGCACAGTTTGCCACATCACTAATCTAACCAATTCCTCTTTTTTACCCCCCCCCCACTGTAAGGTTGTCTGGACAAAAGATCCCTCGAGGTCGTTTGCTCTGAAACGAATGAAGAAACATCACATTGTCCAGACACGGCAACAGGAGCACATTTGTTCTGAGCGGCAAATCATGTTACAACTGCGATGCAACTTCATTTGTCGGTAAGTGTTCTGTTGGGTGAGTCCGATGTAGTCCGATCAATACTAAAATATTACTGAATGTTGTTTTACCCGCTTCATAAGTAGTCTGCCACGATGTCCTCATTTAAAATGTGTCACTGGTGCAAACTGAAAAGTCGAAAAATCAGAACAAGTTGCTCTGTGGACAGAATGTCACTTACACTCTCCAGTGACCTGTGTTCCTCTTCTGAATGGTAACCCCTCATTTTACTATCGCTGCAAGTTCTTTTTCTCTTAGTGTTACGGCTGGATTTAAGGGAACCTGAACGTACAACAAGAAACTCTACACCACACCTTATATATTGAGGTTATATGGCATTCTCAGATATTTTAAACACAACGTCTTGATAAAATTCCTCGCTTGTTCAAAGGAGGATCTTAAAGTTTTCTGCCAGAAATCTAAAAATGACGTAGTGTAAAGTCACTCATCCAGAATAACACAAGACCGGGTTAACTGTGGTCTTTTCAGGAAGCCCAAACCCCAAATCGATTTGTCTCTGGATTTTTGGGAAATCTGGGAGGCCTGTTGAACGTGAGCGAGATAAAAAAGGGCGTGTTAGGTTAACTATGTCGAACTCCCTAATAGGAGGTTTCATGATACTTGTCCATTTCGCACAACGACGAGATTGTCATGTTGGCCGTTTCGACAAGTGTGGCACCCAAAGCAAACACGATCTGTAGTACATTTGGCGAACCCGTAAGTACAGACAAACTTTGCTCAACGCTTCCCCTTTTGTAGCAGAATTGACAAATCTGTCGACAAACAGGTTGACTGGTAGGTCATGTGAGGCTGAAGGGGATTAGGCATGTGATGAGGTTCGTACTTCATGATAAAAATTCGGAACCCAAAAACACAGATTAACGAATCCACCTGTTTGTTACACGAATTGTGGGTAACCATCCCTGGCACTCTACCGACTGCTATTCAAAGCGTCAATGGATTGGAATCCGCAAAGCTTCATGATAGCATAGAATCGCTGAGACCCTAGTTCAAACAAACTCTTTGCAGAACTGTAAGTTGGGTTGGTGGAACGCTATGGTATACAAAAGATCACAGGAGTCCTTGTGCTATCCAAATTAAAACAAAGACTTTAGGTGAACTGTTTGTTCGGTGCAAACACTTTACTGGGTAGAATTTGCAGATGAACATGTTGGCTTTCCTCAACAGTACAGTATCTCTTCATTCAAATAGTAGATTTTCAAATAACTGTGCCCAGTTAGTGTGCCTCAGAGGAAACTAGAGTGCTCTGTTTTATAAGATAAGATTAATTACATCCCCAGATAAATCGGGGGCTAAGGCCCAACTACCGCATGGAACTCGTCGGTTCGAACCAAATCCTGGCTATTTCATTGCTCATGTTTATGTTTGGGTAACTTTGCAGTATCTCGTCCTATGTCCTTCCAATTTGTACGGAAACCATACACCCAAAAGACCGCTACAGCTCAGAGATGTATTCTACTTCAAAGTAAAGTTTATAAAACTTTTTCATTTGAGGTAGGGAAGGCTCTTCATTAGTAACAACAACAAAACGTCGAAGGGTAAACCAAAAGTGACTGTGATACCCTAACAGAACTCCATTACGCATTTTTTGGTGTATCGAAAGCAACTTAGATCCTAAGAATATGAATCAAATGCAAGCACTTTTCTAGGCATCAGTGGTCTCCGTGAATGCATGATCTTTGTGAGGACATCGCTCTTTTACAATGGCGCACTCAGTGAAAAATAATGTGTGAACTCACCTCATCAAATCGACTTATCAAAAAGCATAGGTTGAAAAATGTGAATCTGTTCCGGCTACTATGACTTACTTCGTCCTTTTCAATCCTCGCCCTTCCAATCCACCTGGTGTTATCCTATACTTCATTGTCTTTCCCAAGTGTCTGCTCCATGAGTTTCGAATTCAAATACTGGACTGCCTTTGTCGATAGTTGTATATTCTACCAAGCCAGTATGATGCCACACAGCCAAATACCAAATCCAAGGCCTGGAAACCAGCAGAATCTATGACGAACGATAATCATTTATATAAAATGGTGTGACATTTCACTAGCGGCTAGAACGTTTGAATTAGTCAAAAGTGAGCTGAAATTACTATAAGCAGCTACAGTATTGCTAGTCGGTGATGTTGTGAAGACTGACACTAATATAAAAGGTTCGTGGATACATAACATCCTAACGCAAAGCTCCAAACAGAACGGGTTGCTCGCTATCCCCAACTTCGCAAACGTGTACACTGGGTTGCTTCAGTTCATCCAGTAGCGAACCACGCTTTATATTGTCCCCTTTGCAAACGTCCGAACTAATCGCGTGCCGCCTCGAAACACCGTGTATCCTAAGAGGTTTAGTTAGATGAAGAAAACTGAAGCTGTGGCTCGATCTTACATCTACGCAGCAGTTTGAAAACGCACCTTGCTCTCTTTCCAGAGAAAAATTTCAAAATTATTTGCCCCGCATCTCCCCAATTTTGTCGATCTATTCAGATATTGCATTACTTTTGTTTAGGAAATGACGAAGCATGAATTTATAGCTGTTCGTTTCAGTTTTATGTTGGTCTTTCACAAAAACTAAACCTCATTGATGTGTTTTAACGGTTAATGGTGTGCGTGAGGGCCATATCGTCCCCTACTCTGGAAGAAAATGCTCCATCAAGTGTTTCTCAACCGAACATAAAATTACATTTTTCTTTTGGCACTCTCAATAAACCAACGTCTTGTTGAAAAATGAAAAAACATTCAATTAACCGTGGAATTATGCACATTACTACTGCCCTTTAAATTTTCAAAAGTTATTCGGGGGAACATGATCAGCACAACCTTGCGCTCGGCGGGGAAGAATAATTAGTTCAGTTTTCTAAGATTCATAAAGTTAGACAATGGGGGTCAGAAAACAAAATGGGATCCGAAAAGCAAATAGCACTTTGAAATTATTGAATTGAATATGCGAACTGGAACAAACCTTGGCAAAGATCACGCTGGCTCTTCGAAAAGCCAGGCTACTTCGTTTATGGTACCGGTTGCGTTATCCACATTATTTTTGCTACAAACCAACAAGTCACTCCACTCAACCTCCTCTATCAGTTCCCAATTCTGTTTAAAGATATATAGTGGCCCTGAAACAGCTTTAGTTAAAGCCTGGATATTTAGCTAGCTCAAAAGCGGATACTAATGTGGAAGAGACTACAGACCAGTCTTGCATAGAGGGACTTACATAAAAGTAACGTGACACTACTGGTGTTGAAGTGCTAATGCTCGGAAAGGGGAACCGGAGCACTGAGAACGAGTGAGGGTCAAGATTGAACAAGATTACTTGCCGACTAAGAGACACTGCGGAAGCATAATTTCTCGGCTTTTTTAAAGTGATGCAAGTAACGAAAATTGTCAAATGAATTTACGGGTAAACGCCTTCTAGGATAAATACAGTTCGTGGGGCCTTGGCTTGAAATCACTAGTTATGTGACGACAGGCTTTTATCTGAAAGCATCCAAGCAGCTCAGAAAGGGCCGAATCAAAGCTGTGCTTATCACATGAAGAAAGAGGTGAGGTTATATCATGTTTCAAGGGAGGCTAGTTGAATAGAAATTGGATTCTCAAACAAATTTGCTTGTTTTAACAGCTAGCAAGCAAAAACTTTGCACTTGAACTTGCACATAGAAAAATATACTGAATGATACAGATGGCTTGGTACAACTGTAAACTGGATAGTTAGTCGGCAAAACACTGATATCAGAAGACCAAATTCTCAGTCGTATGAACTTTACAATTCTGGTTTACCTCTAATTCTTTGAAATGGTCCTGAAACACACAGGCCTAAGACTTTCCCATCTAGCACCGTCATGGAACCTACAACTGCTCCTCCGAGTATCAGTATCCAATGCACTTTTGAAAGGACAATTTATTTTATGGGGAACAGCTAGTGTTGTCTAAAAGAGCTGATCATGAGCGTGTGTTTCAGGAAGAACCTTTTATAAGTTGTTTTTTCTCCGAGGTTGATAAATTCGGTGTTTTTAACCGACAGGGAACTGGGTCTAGCGGTGCGTTATTCGAGCCCGGGATTTGCTCAAGTTTGTTTCACTTCTTGTTCCTGTACAATACCCTAAAGGATCAATACGTACAGGTCAACAAGTATTGGCTTTTTTCGTATGAATTCGTCGTGGATAAAATAGGTAATGATAGTTTCGATCGACGCCCAATCATTATAAAATTCTGCTGACATCTCAGGTTTCCAAAGCCGTCCTAAGTGGCCTGCTGTGTGTTTGCCTTTGTGTCATGCTTATATCCTACAACTGCAGACAGCATAAAAATGGGCACAAAATTTAGCCAGATGCTACCGCTTGGGCTTACTGTATCCACACAATCGAAAATAACATGCATAGAAATAGCCGAGGATTGACATGTGCCATTTAGGGCTCAGACAATCATTCTCCTCACGCATAAAATGTCAATTCACATCAACATCATTTAGCAACAAATGATTCGGTTGCAAGCTAAGCTCGGCTGTCATGTGATTACACCAAACACATAATCCGCAACATTTATCGTGGAATCAACAGTGAAATTAATTAAGGAACTTTTGTTTGGGTAGCATCGGAATTTGTCTAGTTTTTGGGGATGGACGGCCCTGAACATTGTCATCACAGACTTCAATACCACGCCATATTCTGAAGCTTTTACATTCAGCAGAAATGAGGCTCTGCAAGTCCATTAGTGTCACTCGGATTGTTCCACACCAGTCGACTCGATCGTCCATCCTGTTACTATTTTGTTTATCGATGTTCCCATACTTTTTGTTCCCTCTTCTAACCTTGTTCCAACCACTATGGAAGTTATGCATGGGAAATGCTGCAGTCAGCTCAGCCAGTCTGATGAATCAACCCCTATATTTAGTGGAACTGATAGCTTTTCTCTTCGTCTTGGTACATACTTGCTGGCACGTGACCATGGCAACAAACTAAGTCGGCAGTTATCGCTATCCTCTCAGGAAT